TGCACCTGTGGGCCTGCACCTGTGGCTCACTGTGGGCTCCACTGTGGCTTCACTGTGGCTCACTGTGGCTCCACCTGTGGGCTCACCTGTGGCCTCCACTGTGGGCTGCACTGTGGCCTCTTCTGAGCTGGCCCGTCGTCGGCACTTACATCCCACGTCGCAGAGGATGTCCTGAGTGACTGGAGACTCCAGGAGGGCAGCCAGGACTTGCAGAGAATGCAAGAGGGTGTCCGACTCGTAATAGTGATCCCAGCACCCGTAGCCGCTGCCGAGGGAGGGGACAGAAGGTGAGGCGGGGACAGGGGGACGCAGCCCACGGGCCGGTCAAGTCGGAGTGCCCAGGTGTGGCCCAGGTGCGAGGCTGCGGACACCTCCCTGCACCCCCATCCCCACCCCCACCCCCGTGTTCCCGAGTTCTGCTCTCACCATATTTCCAGCTCTGGGCCCAGCCGGTACCTTGCTCCCTTCTGTTTGGCGATTTCGATGCCTACATGGACAGAGTGGGGGCAAGGTCAGCACCTCCACGCGCGGAGGCACCGACACCTGCTGCAGGGGGTGTGAGAGGCCCAAGCCAAGCAACGCTCGAAGCGCTCGGCGCCCTGCTGGCCCGGACGCAGGTGGAGGGCATCTCCGACACCTACACCTGCAGGACCTGAGACACGGGCAGCGCCGCAGGGCTGACCGGGCACCGGGAGGAGGAAGTGACTCCCTGGTCGCTGATTAACGAGCGATGAGGAAGGCCCTGCCCACGTGGGGAGAAGGCAGCACCTGGAGGCGCAGTGAGGGGCAGGCACCTCGAACCCTGGGCTAGCCAGCAGCGCCCAGCACAGTCCGGGAGGGCCAGCTGTGTCCGGGTGGCTCGGCCCCCCCTCTCCCCCCCAAATCACCCCCAACGGATTTGCTTTGAGTTTGCGGAAATGACAGCGGGGTTGGTATTGAAAAAATATAGAAGGATGAAAGGCTCCAAGACACCTGGGGGAAAGGGCGCCTCCCTGGAAACCATAGGGTTTTCAATTGTTTCTTGGGTAGCAAGTTCGAACCAGACAAACCCAAAGAGACAACTCCACACCGGGCGGCCAGGGGAGAGGGGTAATGAGCCCGCAAGGGAGAACTAGGACCGACTGTGACTGGTAACGGACCCCACCACTAT